AGATGGACAGCCCCGTGTTGATCATTGCTACCAGGAGGAGGTCCCAGTGATAAGCCGTCCCTTTCACCAACCTGGAGTAAAATGCTTGGTTAGAATCAAGGCTTGGAGTAGGAACCACGGGGGGCCAAGCCAGAACTATTCTCCGCCTTGGTGGCGCAGTGGTTAGAGTGCAGTACTGCAGGCTACTTCTGCTGACTGCCAGCTGCCTGCAAATTCCACCAGGCTCAAGGTTGACTCAGCCTTCCATCCGACTCTAGGGGGCGGTGCTCATCTCCGTTTCAAAGCCGAAGAGCCCGCACTATCCGAAGACCTCTCCGTGGCCGACTAGAACGCCGAAGGCACACGGAACGCTGTTCCCTTCCCACCAAAGGTGGTCCCTATTTTTCTACTTGCATTTTTTTACGTGCTTTCGAACTGCTAGGTTGGCAGAAGCCGGGACAAGTCACGGGAGCTCACTCAGTTACGTGGCGCTTAGGGATTCGAACTGCCGACCTTTCTGATCGACAAGCTCAGCATCGTTCCGTTTAGGTTTAATACTTAAAAGTCAATTTCTGGTTGCATTTTTAAAGAGCAAATGAGGCAGGGAGCTTTATGATTCTACGGGAAAACCTGCAGACAGCTGTTGTAAGAGCCATGGTGGCACAGTGGTTAGAATGCAGCATTGTAGGCTAATTCTGCCGACTGCCAGCAGTTCGATTCTGACCAGCTCGAGGTTGACTCAGAGGTGGCATTTGCCGGTTCTCCAAACTAAGATAAATTTCCGCTACCGGTTCCCCAGAATCTGTCGGAACCTGCTGGATTTCACCCCTGCCTTACCTGTTCTCTGGGGCGTTGGTGAGCGAGGCCACGATGTTTTGCTCTATGAAGAACAGCATAGAGAGCAGAAAACCCAGACCCATCGCGCTCATCACCGATCCGAGGTAGAGATCTTTCACGGGGGCCAAGACGAACAAGCTCTCCGACTGATTGTAGTTAAATTTGGACACTGCAAAATACAAAACAGTGTACATACTCAACGATAAGGTGATGGGTGCTCCATCGTTGGAAGTCTTCAAGAAGAGACTGGACAGTCATTTGCCCGGAATGATAAGGTGAAGGGTGTTCAGCCTTGGTGACTTTAAGACTTGTGGACTTCAACTCCCAGAATTCCCCAGCCAGAGCCGTTTTTTCCTCCCTCCTTCCTGGCAGCGGAATTCTGGGAATTGAAGTCCATAAGTTTTAAAAGGACCAGGAGATGAGGAGTTCTAGTCCCACCTTGGGCACAAAAGCCAGCTTCGTGACTGTGGGCCAATCACCAGGTGGTCGTGAATTCTAGTCCTACTTTTAGGCATGAAAGCCAGCTGGGTGACTTTGGGCCAAACACCAGGTGATGGTGAGTTTTAGTTCTATCTCAGGCATGAAAACCGGCTAGGTAATAGCAATAGCAATAGCAGTAGACTTATATACCGCTTCATAGGCCTTTCAGGCCTCTCTAAGCGGTTTAC